GGGGGCTGCCTACCGAAGTCAGCAGCGCCACCTGCCAGCTAGGGAGTCGCCACTCACAATGCAGCTGAGGAGCCAGGATGCTCAGAATCATCATCTCCATGGCATCGGCCATCTGTGGGAGGAAGGGACACTGTGAGGATCAAGTGCGTCCTGCCCTGGCCTCAGAGAGTGAGGCCGACCCCTCTGCTTCCTGCTGGCACCCGGCCAGATGTCCCATGGGAAGGCGTCTGGGATTGAACCGGTGAGCGGCAACACAGGGACCCAGGTGACAGCTGGCATGCTTGGTGTGTTTCCCCACACTGTGTCTGTCTGCTTGCTTTCGAATTTTATTTTTAAATGTTGTATTGATTTCTTTTATACGGGCCGGTGTATTGCCTGCATGTGTGTCTCTGAACCATGTGCGTGCAGTGCCCTTGGAGACCAGAAGAGGGCGTTAGATGCCCCTGGAACTGGAGTTACAGGCAGTTGTGAGCTGCTGTGTGGGTGCTGGGAATTGTGGAAATTGAGCCTGGGTCCTGCAGATGAGCAACCAGCACTCTTAACCACTGAGCCATCTCTCCAGTCGGTTTTTAAAATTACATTTGTGTGTGTGTGTGTGTGTGTGTGTGTGTGTGTGTGTGTGTATGTGTGTGTGTGTGTGTGTGCCTGCCATCTCACCGGCCCCTTTATGTGTTATTTGCTTGTGTTCGAGACAGGGTCTCATTATGTAGCCCAGACTGGCCCAAACCAGCCATCTTCCTGCCTCCACCTCCCAAGCACTGGGATTACACCAGTGTAATGTACCCCCATGTACAGCATCATTTCCTCATGTTTTTAAAAACACAGGTTCTTGAGCTCAATGAGATGGCTCAGTGGGTAAAGGAGCCGCTGCCAAGCCCGAGGCCATGAATTTGATCCCCAGGAGCCACATGGTAGAAGAAAAGAGCCAAGTCCCTGCCAGCTGTCCTCTGGCCACTACATACATGTTCACCATGGTATACACAAACACACACACACACACACACACACTATAAAAATGTGATAAGAGGGTTGGGGATTTAGCTTAGTGGTAGAGCGCTTGCCTAGCAAGCACAAGGCCCTGGGTTCGGTCCTCAGCTCTGAAAAAAAAATGTGATAAGAAATACAGGTGCTCCCCAGATGAAGTGAGAAAGTGTCACGTGTCTAAAAGCAGAGCACACATTTTTACAGAGGCAGAGAGACAGTGTGGTCTTTTTTTCTTCAGGCAATTACTCCTTTGTCTTTGGTTGGTAGGTCATGTGCTCATGAAGAATTGTCTGCATCTTTAATGAACACAGTGTTTGAATACATTAGCATATATTAAGAAGCCCCAGATACTAAATGTCTTGATTCTACTTTATGACTGGACAGAATATTGGAAGGTTAAAAGCAGACCCACACTCGGGCCATGGGAGTGTGGGGCCCAGGAAAGGTCTGTTCTAGTGAGTGAGAGACATGGCAGAGAAATGGATGGTCCATTTTTGAAAAACACAGGCGTAGGCCACTTCTCACATCATGCTCAGAGAAGCATCGCAACTGGATTAAAGACCCAATGTGCTCTGGGTTGGAGCTCCATAAGGGGTCCTCAGCGAGGGGTTGTGAACACCTTGAATCAGAAAGCATTCTTTATTTTATTTCTGCAGTGCTCAGGGGTGGAGTCCAGTGTGTTGCCCACAGCTAGGCAAACACCCTGAACTATACTCCCAGCCCAGATGGCAAATGTTTTCTATGAACTCTGTTCCTGGGCAGGGATATGACCCAATACCATCACCTCACAGTAGCCCTGAGTCCCCAAGGGCAGAGATCCTCTTCTGTAGCTTGATGCTTCCTGAGGGTGATGCCAATCATGTCTACCTCCCTCCCAGCATGCACCTGGGCCATCACTATATGTGAGCTTTGCTGATTGGCATTCAGGCAGAAGTTATATGTGGGGAGAACCGTGCTATTCCTGTGGCCATGGTACCCAGCTGAGCTTCAGGGGATCCCTGGAGTGTCCATGAGGTGCTGTGGCCAGATGCTTACCCAAGCCAAGCCCGTGAGAACAGAGAGCTTCCACTGAAATCTTCCAAACCCAATGGCTTCCACCGCATCTTCCACCATGAAAGTGTCTAGGAGGGGAGGATAAGGGGGAATCAAGACATCTTGTGTTTGTCTAGTGTGGCATCTGGGGTGGTCCCCAGACAGACTAATTAACTATAGCATGTGCTGTTACAAGAACTAACATCACAGCCATTATCATCATCACCATCATCACCACCAGTCATCATCATCACCATCATCACCACCAGTCATGATCATCACCATCATCACCATCAATCATCATCATCACCATCATCACCACCAATCATGATCATCACTATCATCACCACCAATCATGGTCATCACCATCATCACCACCAATCATGATCATCATCACCATCATCATCACCAATCATGATCATCATCACCATCATCAACACCAATCATGATCATCATCACCATCATCACCACCAATCATCATCATCACCAATCATGATCATCACCATCATCACCACCAATCATCATCATCACCATCATCACCACCAATCATCATCATCATCATCACCATCATCACTACTGTAGTGGTTTGAAAGAAAATGTCCCTCAAAGACCCAGAGGGAGTGGCACTATTAGAAGGTGTGGCCTTGTTGGAGGAAGTGTGGGGGCGGGCTTTGAGGTCTCCTATGTTCAAGCTACAGCCTACTGCTGTTGCCTATGGATCTGGATGTAGAATTCTCAGCTCCTTCTTCAGCACCCTGTCTGCCTGCTGCCACCATGTCCCACCATGACAATGATGGACTAAACCTCTGAACTGTAAGCTACCCCAATTAAATGTTTGTTGTAGGAATTTAGCAGAGTTGCTGTATCTGTGATAGATACTAGAATCAATAGCTGTTTTCTAGAAGTGCTTTGACCTTGAAGAATCGTTGTGGAAAATGGTGATTGTTTTCTGTGATTTGTAGAATTGGTTTTCGGAAGGGACATCGCCTCTGACTGGTCACAAGCCGCCTGAGGCTCTTGGATTATTGTGCGCTGCAAAGGGTACACAGTAAAGGGCCAAAGCCGCGAGGGCATGGGATGCTCTCCTTTGGAGAGACATAGAGTAGAGTAGGGACCTTGGTATGAGGAAATACTTTACCTAAAAATCCAGCTTTGGGTAACAATCAATCAATGTGCCTTTGTGCGGCTGTCGGGGTTCAGTTCATCAGAGGCTGGTCCTTCCTGCTGCCAGGGGCCCTAACATTTCATCTCAGAGTGACCTCTTTCTTCAGTCGACCCACACCACACAGAGCACTCTGACAAAAGCTTCCTTTACAAGAGTTGCTGTGGTCATGGTGACTCCTCACAGCAATAGAAAACCTAACTAGGACAACCACCATGGGCACCATCACCGTCGTTAATACTATCACCACAGCCGCCAGCTTCATGATTATCACCATCACCACCACCATCACCATGACCACCACCATCACCAATCACCATCACCACATCATAGTCACCATCATTACCATTGTCATCACCACAACCATGATCAACATCAGAATCATCACCACTACCACTCTTAGCAGCAGCAGCAGCAGCAGCAGCAGCATTATAGTCATCACCATAATCACCACCACCATCATCACCACCACTACCATCACCAACACTACCACCATCACCACCACCATCATCATCACCACCACCATCATCACCACCATTACCACCATCACCATCACCACTACCATCACCACCACCATCACCATCAGCATCATCAGCATCATCACCACCATCAGCATCATCATCACCATCACCACCATCACCATCATCAGCCCTGTTGCTGCACTTCTCAGTCAAGTGTGCAATGACGCCCCCAGCAGGGATTGTGATGTAACCATCCCTCCTGAAGTAAGCCTTGTAGTCCCAGCCTACCCTCCCAGGGCCACCCTTGGGTGGCCTGTGTCTTCCCAACTGCCCCTTCACAAGAACTTTCTAAGACCACCACCTAGGCAGGCAACGCAGGATGCCAGGCTAATGCCTGAGCCGATGGGCTTTCTTACCATCCGTGGGATTGGCAAACTCCTTGGGCACAGCAGCCCCATCATCCAGCTCAACTGCTTCTAGGCCCACTCGGACCCCCTCGATCTGGACATCATGCTCTCCGGAAGCCAAATCGTCCTCTGACCTTGCACTCTCTCCCGTACGGCGGAATTTCACCACCCTAGAGAAGAAAGCAAATCAATGTGATCAGGATGGCTGGAGCTCCCTCTGGACGGCCTTGCTGCGTAACTTTCCCACCCAAGACAAGTGAAGAGCATTTTCTCCCCATCCGGAGGGCTGGGCAGGTAGGCCTGGCATTTTATGTTGAATTTGGTTGGACGGGAAATGGGGGTGGTGGTGATGTTGGGAGTTTATCGATCCGTTGACGGTTGGACAGTTGGGCGCTGCACAGTACTGTTCTCATGTGCATGACTAGCCTTTGTTCCAGGCCCAAGTTCTGTTTTGACACAGGACCACACATTGCTAAATCATTCTCAGAATGCGCCGTTGGCCATTTCCTAGCTGTGGGGACGTCATAGTGTGTGTTTACAGACAGCAGCGAAGTGACCTAGCCTCATGGGTTCACTGTCACATGTCCAAGAGCATCACTGAGCAGTGTGTGTGTGTGTGTGTGTGTGTGTGTGCGCGTGCGCCCGTGTGCAGTGTAGGGCTATCTGTTTGGGTCTTCAGAGACATCTGTCTGTAACAGGCAACGACTGGGTCACACATACAAGGCTTATGGTTAAAAGTCGCTGTGTTCTGGCCCCGCTTGGACTTACAGTAGGGCTTCTCAACCTCCCTAATGCTGCGACGACCCCCACCATGAAATGATTTTCGTTGCTACTTCATGAGTAGAATGTTGCTACTGTTATGAATTGTAACGTAAATATCTGATATGCAAGGTTTCTGATATCACAGGGTGAGAACTGCTGACTTAAAGGGACCACCAGATACTCTAAATTGGGGATATTTACATTAAAAGCCGCATTCCCAGGTCTCTTGACTGTGACAGGCACATAACTCCATCCTGACCTCAGTCTTCTTTTCTGTGAAGACCTCCAGCCCTGAGGGCTGTGATCCCATCTCCACACTCCTCTGCTTCTCCTCACTTCCCCACTTTGCCCATTTTCCTGGCTCTGAAGACATTTGAATCTGAGACTCCCCAGGCCTCCACCCTGTGCCACTCACTCCTCAAACTATGTACTCCTCCCTCCCTTCATCCCTCCCTCCCTCCCTCTCCCCTCCCTCCCTCCCTCCACTCCCTCCTTTTTTTAAAGTAAAGACAGGGTCTCACTATACAGCCCAGGCTGGCTTTGAACTCTCAATCCCCCCACCTCAGCCTCCAGGTGCTTCATAGGTGTGCATCACTGCTCCTGGTCCAGACTAGGCTCTCTCTCTCTTTCTCTGGGTGGAGACACGGTGTTTATGAAAGACTGTTTCTTTACCTGAGACTCTGGACAGGGTGAACAGTCTCCTTGCAAGCTTTTCTCTCCCAAACACAAGCCCCCCCGCTGTCTGTCACCCCCGGTTTGAGGGTACAGCACCGACAGTCAAATGTGCCTCCCAGCTCCAGGAGAGAGAGCTGTCCAGTGCGAGCGGCTTATTTCCATGTGACTTTGAAACATCACAAACAGCAAAGAGGTCATGTGAGCAACTGAGCAAAATGAAGCCTTGGTTTAAAAAGGCCGAAGAGGTGGGCAAGCTCAGTACAAACTGCTGCTATTATTATTATTAATATTACTACCACTGCTACTATTGAGACGGTCTTACATAGCCCAGGCTGGCCCTGCATTAGTTACACAGCTGAGGATGACTTTGAACTTCGGATCTCCCAGCCTCTACCCCCGAGTGATGGGATGGTCGACACACTCTATCTATGCTGACACAAACCCAGGGCCTCACACATGCTAGGCCGGTGCTCTCCCAGATGACCGCCCTGCTGTGTAGAACTCTTGAATTCTTCTGTGGACCCGTGGAGACTTGCTGTGCTCTGCCTTAGAACATGCTTGTTTCAGAAGCACAGGGAAGCTGCCCTGCTTGAGAAGCTTCTAGAATACACACATGCCGGGTCATAGGGATGTGAGGACACACAGGAGCTTCATCCTTAGCAAGACTGTGCCTGGCAAGGGGCCAAGTGCAGGGTGAGGTGGCGGAGTTCTGTCTCTGGCATTCCATGGAATAGTATGGGACCCGTGTGCTTTGTGTGGTGGTATTGTGTTCCCCCAAATATTGTGTACCTTAATAAATTTATCTGGGGTCAGAGAACAGAACAGCCACTAGATACAAAGGCTAGAAAATGGTGGCACTCACACCTTTAATCCTAGCATCCCAGAGATAGAAATCCCTCTGGATCTCTGTGAGTTCAAGGCCACATTGGAAATAGCCAAGCAAGGTGACACACGCCTTTAATCCCAGGGAGTGGTGGTAGAAAGCAGAAAGATATATAAGGCGTGAGGACCAGAAACAGGAGGCATTTGGCTGGTTCAGATTTTGGCTGGTTAAGCATTCAAGCTTTTGAGCAGTAATTCAGCTGAGACCCATTCCGGATGAGGACTCAGAGGCCTCCAGTCTGAGGAGACAAGACCAGCTGAAGATCCGGCGAGTTGAGATGGCTTTGGCTTGTTCTGTCTCTCTGATCTACCAGCATGGACCCCAATAACTCGCCTCGGGTTTGATTTTAATAATAAGAACTTTTAAGATTCATGCTACATCTTTGGCTGGCGTTTTCCGCAGGCTTAGTTTGCACAGCAGCTCTGTGAGGTGGCTGAGGCCCTGACATCATGTGACATACCCAAGTCCATGTCACAGGACTCCAGAGGCATGGAATGCGGGGTCCATCCCAGGTCTGCCTGGCGGCTCAAAGTCTCACGTTCCAGGCAAACTAAACGTGTCTTTCCAGATCTGTCCATAGCTCCCATATACGCCAAACCTTTGTGGAAAACACTTTAGGTAAAACTATTTCAAGTCTATAAAACTATACAGAAATCCCTTTTCTCCTCTCCACTCAACACTTGCCAGGCTGAGCCAGGACACGCTGCCAACCCTGGGTGTCATTCAATTGATGATGCCACAGAATTGTCCCCACGTTTTCACAGGTGGCTCTTCGTCAGTCATATGTGCCTCCCTATTCAATTTACCCCTCGAAACAACCTGAGACAGGAGCCTGTCATCATCCCCCCTGGAGGCCGTTTACATCTTTACACATGGCCTAGAATGGCTGTGTTGTTTTCCAGAAGTACGGCCTAACACGGGGGCTTCCTTTCTTATTCCTCCTCCTTCCTCTGTTTTTTTTTTTGTTTGTTTTGTTTTTCGAGACAGGGTTTCTCTGCGTAGCTTTGTGCCTTTCCTGGAGCTCACTTGGTAGCCCAGCCTGGCCTCGAACTCACAGAGATCCGCCTGCCTCTGCCTCCCGAGTGCTGGGATTAAAGGCGTGCGCCACCACCGCCCGGCCTCTGTTTTGTTTTTGATGATGTAAAATGCCCATAACATAACCGTGGGCACCCTCACCACTTTAAGTATCCCATTCTGCAGGATAAAGTATGCTCACAGCCATCACCTCCCCTTCCCCCCATCTCTGGACCTGCTCCATCTTTACATCTTAAACTCTGTCCCCTTAGACCCCAACTCCCCAACTCTTCCTGCATCCAGCACCCAGTGGTTGTCGTTCTCTGTCTCTGTGAACTCAGCTGCCCTGGAGAGCTCATGGAAGTGACTCAGAATTTTATTCCTGTTCCTCTTCAGTCCTGGGGGTTGGATCTAGGGCCTTGTGCATAAGAGTCAAGCACTGAGATAAGCCCATCACTCTCTTTTTACTTTCAAAATGGTCAAAGTTTCATGAAGATACCAGACTAGCCTTAAACTCACTCTGTAGCTAAGGCTAGCTAGCTTTGAACTTGTGACCCTCCTGACTCAACCTCTTGAATGGCTAAGGTTACTAGCCTGAACCATTACCAAGTCCAGCCCCCTACTCCTTTGTAAGGGCTGAGTAATATTCCACTGTATGGACATAACACGGTTTGTCGGTTCACCAGCTGACAGGGACTTGGATGGCTCCCATCTTTCGTTCACTGTGAAGAACACAGTGGCAAACATGATCGTACAGATTCCTGTCTGAGTCCTTGATTTTACTTCTTTGGGGTATAAACAATGTTTAAAATTCTGAGGAACTGCCAGAGTGACTCACACACCACTTAATAGTCCCATGGACTCCTGTTTCTGCGTGTACTTGCCAATCATTACTCGTTTCCACGTGGTCTGAACACAGACAGCTGACGAGTGTGCTGTGGCAGCTAGCTCGGGGGGGGGGGGGGGGGGCTTTCATTTGCATCTCTCTTTTAAATATATGTTTAAAATTTAAAATTGCGGGGGCTGGAGAGATGGCTCAGAGGTTAAGAGCACTGACTGCTCTTCCAGAGGTCCTGAGTTCAATTCTCAGCACCCACATGGTGGCTCACAACCATCTGTAATGAGATCTGGCGCCCTCTTCTGGCCTGCAGGGGTACATGCAAACAGAACACTGTATACATAATAAATAGATAAATCTTAAAAAAATGTTTAAAATTGAATAGGTGCATATGTGCACACTCCACATCACATGCCTGGAGGTCAGAAGACAACTTCCAAGGGTCAGTTCTCTCCTTCTACCATGGAGGACCCAGGCTCCAAACTCAGACTGTCCGGACAGTGTCTCCAGCCTTTACCGCCGAAGCCACCCTGCCCCCCCTTCTTTTGCCTCTTCCTGACATGGAGCTGTTGGGAAACAGACTTTGGAGCAATGTCTGTTCAAGTGTTTTCAATTAAATATCTGCTTTTCAGATTTTCTCTGTGTTGCCCATTCTGCCCTCAAACTCACCATCCCCCTGCCTCAGCCTCCGGAGTGCTGGGATTAGAAGCCCATGTCGGCACACCTCCTGGCTTGTCCTTGCTCCTTCTGGGCAGCAGACTCTCACCAACTATCTAATTTGCAAATGTTTTCCTGAGTCCATGACCACGCTTTCCCATCGGAGTGTGATTATTAGACACAAGGAAGGTTTTCACACTGGCGTGGTCCAACATCTGGTTTTGCTTTGATTGCCTGTGCCTTTGTGGTGTCCAGAACAGTCACCGCGGGACCCAGGATCATGAAGTGTTCTGTTCTCTTCTAACCGTTTATTAACTCACTCTCTCTCTCTCTCTCTCTCTCTCTCTCTCTCTCTCTCTCTCTCTCTCTGTGTGTGTGTGTGTGTGTGTGTGTGTCTGCACACGCATATCGCCGCATACCTGCAGAGGTCAGAGGACATCTTGCATGAGTCCCTTCTCTCTTTCT